AAGAGAGAGAGAGAGAGAGAGAGAGAGAGAGAGGGTACCCTCTCAGCAATGCTATGAGGGTCAGTGGCCTGACCCCTTCTGGCCCTCACCCTTGGTCGTACTGCGGGCGGGTGCGGCGCTGCTGCTGCTCCTGAAGACGTCGCACTGCTCCCTTGCTGTGGGTACCCACCCCCTTGCCGCAACGCCATTCCTTGCCCTGCCTGAACCAACACACACAATAACCCACTCTCAAATAACTATTCTCTCTCTCTCTCTCTCTAACAGGAACTCTGAGAATTCTCTCTCTCTCTCTCTCATGTCTGATTCCATGGCATTGCATGTCTCTCTCTCTAACGCACACGTGTATATACCATATGATTGCATAGCATTTCGACGATTTCAAGTTTTGTCTTTCACGTTAAACAAATGATGATCGGTTTGGAAGTATTATGATTACAGATCCCTTTCTTTTCTTTTTTTTTTGGTCCAAAAATCAGCCAAGAAAATGTGTATTTTCCCAGATTGAACACCACGAGGTTGGTTTTTTCGAATTTTCTGTATTGCAATATTTTTATTTTTCAGGTAAAATGCATGAGGATAATTATTCAAAACAATTTAAGTTAAATTTGTTACTAGGAATTCGAAACAATATTTGATCTTGTCCATACGACGTAATCAAAGACCATCGATCTAGCCAAGGAAGCTGGTTTTCTAGGAGAAGCGACACGAATTGACGGTCAAGATCTTCACGACAAAGTGAACAACAATCTTGACTGTCCATCTGTGAAAGGTAACAACTTTGCCGAGACTGATTAAAGGCGCGCATTTGAAAGAGTAAGATACGGTACAACCCCCGTACATAAGGTGCGTAAATTACGAAAATACCCAAAAAAAAATTCCCAGCGTCAATCAAATTACAAAAACACCCTCAATTCTTCGGTGCCGGAAACGCGCGAATAACCAAAATACCGAGGTTTCAAGTGCAGGACCAAAACAGCCGGGCTCTCCGATTGACGGGAATGACGAAAATGCCCCTCCCCATAGCCACTGCAAATGACTGCAGTACCCCTTTCAGAGGGAAGGAAACACCAGCCCCAAAATTTTGAAGAATTTTATTTCCTTATTTTCAAAAAATTCACGACTTTGGCAAGTTCTCGCCGATTAATGAGAGAGGGAGTCTGAGCTGCGACGACTAATCGGAAAAAATCGCCAATTCTATTACCTGAGGGCCCTCTGGGCGAAGAGAATGCGAATGGACGCCACCAAAAACCGGGAATAAACCGCCGAAATGTTCCTAAAAGAAAACAAACAAATAAGAATACAAATATATAAGCAAAGAAACAGCAATAAAATCTGTATTTCGGCTCGATATGGACAATTTCTTAGTCTAATATCGGCACCCGTATTTTGGATGGGAAGAACAAAAAAACACAGGTGCAAATAGCAATATCTTTCTTTCTTCTTCTTTTCCCTTTTTTTGCATTTTTGCTTACGGCTTTTGTAGCGCCCTTGCCCTCATGCTCATCACGAAACCGCTTATCCGCTCCCAAAACCGCTTCCGGTTTAGCGAAACAACTTTTCCCATGCTCCAAGCCAAGCCCCAACGGAAAAACCGGTCCCGAGAAACCACTCCCATGACCCGAACTCTCCCCCGAACCAAGCTGCAAAACCATGTGATTCGCTGCCGGAAAACCTCCTTGGTTCGCCGGAAAATTTCCATCTGGTGCGGCGTAAGCCGGAATCGCCAGAATCTGCTCTAGAAACTCGTCCATCATTTTCTCCGGCGCGTTGGCCATGCCGGAAAATGCTTAAGCCCACTAATAGAACGCAAAGCCAATAATTCTTAGACTGAGACTGCTATTAAATAGATAATGATTATGCTAGACGAAGATTAAGCGTAATAATAAGGATATCATTGAGTGGAAACAAAGAGGAGGAGAGGAAGAAGGGGAATGGGTTTTAGAGAGAGAAACGAAGAAAGAGAACGGTTTTATAGTGAGCTGGGATTGGAAACCCAAGGTTTTTGTCTGCAAATTTTTTTAGAAATGGTTTTTTTTCGAGTAACAAGGTAATGGGTTTTCCGAGAAATTAAAGATGGGAAACAAAAAAGCTCGGAAATAGCGAAAATGGGGAAGAAATACATGGAAATTCGCAGGCCGCCATGGCTTTCCCTATGCAGCTCTCTCTCTCTTTCTCTCTCCACTTTTTTTTGCTCTCCTTTTCTCTCTCTTTGTTTCTCGCGCTTTTAAGAAAGGCAGTGTTTTTAGACCCATACCATTTTTAGGAAAGACGAAAAAACCCCATCCATCTTGAGAATGACAACTGGGTCCGCCTTCTTACTCTGAATTCCAAGGAATTTCCGAATTTTGGAGGGATTATCATTCGGACATTATAGTAATTTGGAAAGGATACTGTGAACTACTTTTTTGATTTTATTTTTGAAATAAAGAGGTCTCTAACTTTCTTCTATGAGCTTATGAATTTGTGGGGCTACCACAAATGCTTGTGACAAAATATTTTTTGGAAAGTTCAAAGAAAGTCATCATTGAACAGGTAAGGGGCATTATGAGTCATTTTTGTTAGTCACAATTCATATCGATCATCATATGCATTTTTGTTAGTCACTATTATTATTATTGAAATTATTTTAATTTATCATGATAAATTCATAGCTTTATTGCCTAATTGCTTTGATTATATTCCCATAAAATGAATTTATCAAGATAATTTGAAGAGTCTCATTTTATCACGATAAATAATTCCTTGATAATAAATTTGCATATAGTCAAAAGAAAAATTAGAGAGTTGTATTTGAAAATAAACACTATTTGCGCTATAAAAGTCTCAATAAAGTGAATTGGGAGCAATTTGTACTCAATTGATATTTTAAACTTTCTTATTTATAGATCTTTTAAGTATATATGTTATTTGTGTATTTTGAACTAACAAATTTTCAATTTAGTAGAAATTTATTTTTGATATGTAATCTGTTAAATTTAATATATTAAAGTCCTCCTAATTATCTGACAAGAGGAAAAAGAAATGTATGATACAAATTAATCCTCCCACTTCTAGAAATTACGTTTGGATTTGAATGAATGAGAGGTTAATAATGAAGATTAACAACGCTACGTCTCAAGTTTGATTCTTACTAGTGAACGGCCAAAAAGCAAAAGAGATTATAACACCCGAGAGAGCAATTACTCAATTCTTACTAGTGAACTGCCAAAAGCAAAAGAGATTATAACACCAGAGAGAGAGAGCAATTACTCAAATCTTACTAGTGAACTGCCAAAAGCGAAAGAGATTATAACACCAGAGAGAGAGAGAGAGCAATTACTCAAATCTTACTAGTGAACTGCCAAAAGCGAAAGAGATTATAACACCAGAGAGAGAGAGCAAAATTACTCAAATTAAGAGGTACACTAAGTGCAATTGATCAAAATTTGAGTAATTTTAAGGAAACTTCAATCAAGGGTACTACTACTTTCAAAACACACGATAAAAAAAAAAAGAAATCATAAGCAAGACATTTATCACTTTATCTTAGACAAAAAATCCAAATCTGAAGGCCACAAATTAAGATTAAGATAGGTTTCCCCTCATTAGTACTAACATCAATACTAATTAGGGGTACTTTTGTACGAGTACCGCTCATCTAATTAGTGGTACTTCTGTTAATTACAAATCTACACTTCATTAATTAGAGAGATTTCCCCTAATTAATACTAATTAGGGGTGCTTTTGTAAAAAGTACCGCTCATCTGAGTCTACTCAAGGGTACTTCTGTTATTTTTTCCCTTTTCCAATTACAGATTTGCCCTTAGAAGTCTCCACTCGTATCATCATGTAACCCTCGTGTCCCAAATTTAGCGTTACAGGCAATTTCAAGACCCATTCAAGAGTTTCTTCTTCGAGGATTGGTCCCACATGATATTTTCAGAGGAATACGGGTCATTTGGGGAAAATAGAAAAAAAAAGTTGTATATTTGTATTATTTTTTTGATGTCATTGTAACGTCATGATTTTGAAAGAATAAATAATTAACATAGTTTGGTCGGCTAAATGGAGGGCTGGAATTTTTTAGCCAGCTTTAAATATCCCAATCCTGGCCGTTCCTTCAAATTTAAAATTAAAAATGAAGTGAGGCCATGCTCGAGTCTCTGAGATTTATATTTTATACACTGCAATTTAAATCCGTCCATACAACACAGAATTAATTTATAAATACAACTAATTACCTACCAAAACAAAATCCTATAAACGAGAAAATCATGTCAATTTAAATTAAAATCTTTTAATTCAATCTATCACAAATTTCTTGGTGTTTCATGCTATCACAACTTACCCATCTAAAAAGGTCACTAAAATTTTGCCGAAATTTCGATCCTCCACTGAAAGTTTTTGATTTATGAGAAAACATGTACGTAAGACATCGGAGGAGATTGAACTATTTGGAATTTATTTGGCCATTAAACCATTCAAAAATTCAATCTTTTCCGATTCTCACTTACATTTTCTCTCTAAAGTTATTGAAACAATTCCCACTCAAACTATATCTCTTTTGTTTGGTTTCTCTCTCTAAAGTGATATAAGAATGGAAAAAGCATGCAGGTAAGACATCGGAGGAGACCAAACTATTTGAATTTCAGATGAAACTACAAAGTTTGATCTCCTGCGATTCTTACTTGCAAACCCTATCTCTTTATAACTAAGGTTTCAATTATGGTGAGCCTCTCGGCTTGCTATTTATATTCCCTAATACAAATATTACGAGGCTCATGTGCCGCTAAACATGCAAATCTCGTGATATTTTCACACGTGTGAAATTAGTTGCAACAATTACAAGCAATATCTCTCTCTCTCCCCCTGTAACAATATGTTAAGCGGTTAGCCTGTTCACTTTGACTGCATCTCTCTCTCCTCGTCTGCTTTCTATATCATGTTGTCCGGGTGACTTTGACTGCACTTCCCTTCAACTTAAATTTCCACAAGCCAAAAGATTTTGAACTCCCGCAGTCCCTCGCATGAAACCTATTCAAAGAGCAATTTAGACCTTAAATTTTCGGTTGTTGTCGCTTAATTGGTTAGAGCTTAACGATTTGCAATGCTTAGGATCAATTTCTACAAAAGTTACGGGCCTTCTTCCCACTTATTCACCCGAGTGGGAAGAGGAAAAGATATATTTGAGAAATATATATCGAACAAAAATAATAATACCTCAATATTGAATATGTATAATTAAATTTTATGTGGAAAAGATATATGTGAGAAAACTCAAAATTCAAAATTTATTTTTTAAATATAATGTGGTTCCCAAAATTTGGGGTTGAAAGTTTTTTTAAAATAAGTAGGTCTTCTACCCGAGGGAATAAATATATAGTACACTACCGTAGGAGCATTGTACATGTGCACAATAATTTTGGGTACAACGAACTTCCCAAATCGCAAGCCCCAAAGCCCTTTTAACCATTAAATCTGAAATGGGCGGATAAGGGTGTGTTATTGACAAGTTTAACAATAATGACACACATTAACTTGTTAGATTTGGTATCTACCGGTTAAGAATGATTGCGATTTTTTTATATTAAAGATAAATGATATTATAGTATATTATCTCAAATTAAAATTTAATATTTTAATTTGATAACGAGACCATTTACTTTTGATACAAGGAGATCAAAATTACCTACAACCATTCAATGTGAAATATGAGTGTCCCAAAGTTTGATTTTTTTATTTTTTTATTTTTCTAAAGTTTGAGCTTTGTCAATGAAATAAATGCAACTACCCAATTTCACATCCAATTATCAAAATTAATTGTGACAACCTTATATCAAAAATAAATAGTCTTATTGTATATTTTTTTTCTTTAATTTTTAACTACTATACGGATTGTACGCTTAATGACTTTTATCTCCAATTAATTGTGCTTAATGTAGGTAAGAACTCTAGTAAGGGACTTTCTATCTCCATATAATGTGGACACTTCGAGTGTGCACTGTCAATTTTCAACGACTCTTATTGAACCTAGAATCATAGAACAAAATTATTTATTTTTTTAAAAAAGAAATTTATTTAAATTTTATCTTTATCTAAAATTTAGAGTATAGAAATATTTTTATATAACTCACTAAATAAAAATAATTAAAAAAATATCAGACTACCTTTAAACTTTTTTGACAACAGGTGCTCTTGTTATTTCCTTGTTCAAAATATTTGTTATTACTTTTATTTGGTGTGTCACATGAAATTGAATCTAGATCCCATATATTTAATAAATATAATTTAAAAAATAAAAAATAAAAATAAAACTATTTTATACCTGTTGGATGTATCCTTTTTCAATACGAACCGCGTGAAGGGTGCCATAGCACCTTCCGCCATCCACCTGAGAGAGGCTTTCCCCTCTAGTAATACCCAATAAAATCAAATTATTATGACATTTTAAGTCTTCCCAAAACGTGCGATAAAAAACTTTCTTAACAATAACATGTAAGTAATTTGAAAGCAAAATTATTTATCTCAATTAAAAAATAAATATGTCACTTACATAATTCTAATTCCAAAAAAATGAATAAGGCAAATGGGGATAATTTAATAAGAATGGATATGTAAGTTGACGCTGTTAAGTTTGATTGTTCACGGTTGATATATTAGTTTTGAAATAAAATGAAATTATTATCAACTTTATCATTTGTAATTTGAATTCATATTTACAGATCTTAATAAGAGATTATTCATAATAAATAATAAAATAACTTAATATATCATAGTCCTGGTAGTTGTCTAATGAAGGGAAATTTATAGAAGTGCTACTGGAGTATCAACTATTTAAAGTTTTATTCATTTATGATGTTTAAATTTCCAAAATCCCATCAAATGGCAATAATCATGAGCTACAATAGTGAACATTTTAAAAATATTTTGACGAATGCTAAATGTGTAAATATTTTCTGCTCCGACGAGATCGTGTTATGCATTTGCTCCCTCAAGCCAAAACTTATGTTGGCAATATTTTTTGGACCTGGGAATGGGCTTAATGTTAGGTGTTCAGGGTAGTGGGTCATTACAACATGATATCTTAAGTTTTATTCTTATTATGATTAGGAGTACCCATCCTAAAAAATAAAATATTCGGGGATTATTTACAAAGAGGCTATTTACTTTTTGCACATGAGGTTACAATCATTCTCACTTTTACAATGTTAAATTGAATGGCTTAAGGTGAGTCATGAAGTTCGAA